ATAACGCCCGTCATAAGTAACATAAAAGTGAAGCGTCTCTAGCGGCGTAGTTCCCAATTAAACCTGAATCCAATGACACAGGCTTGTTGGTCTATCTCATTACAACAACTTTGTCCAAGACAGTTTAGCTCTATATAATGTAACAAATGAGATAATCCACCACAGCCCCTATTAGTGAAAATCCCATAAGCTGTGGGTATCCTTATTCGCGGATAGCCCGGCAATAAGGATCCGGCAATAAGGGATACCGGCAATAAGGAATCCACCGACGTACGAAAACAGTTCTATCGATTGTTTCACACTCATCTAGTCGATAAGTTTCTGAAATTGCAGATATGGTTGCCTCTGCCACTGTATGTGCTCATGATATATTTTAATAAATTTAGTCAAGGTGTCCCGTCCCCTGGATTATTGAGAGGAATCCCGAAAGTGTTTCTAAAAACATTTTGGGATGATTCTAGTTAAAAATTTTAAGACAATTTCAAAGATTCCTGTAAAGAGATTCTCAGAAATTATCTAGTTATTTCAGACACTGATACTTCGAAAAGATTTTGCGTTCAACAAAATTCCAAGATCCCGGTCCATGCCAGTTTCACCGAACTGAATAATAAAGGTATAAAACTGATATTTCATGGTTGCAATAAAACTCCCGATTATTTCCCTTATTTTTTTCGATTGTTTTCAACTCCCGGTTAGCTTCCGGTTCTCTCGATTTTCCTAGTTCAGTGGCCACCCTGTAACTATTGGATTGGACCGAATTGTAAACATGGGACGACTGGATTTATAATTTGTTTTAGGAATCATGAATTTGATTGCAAATGAGATCTAGGGAAAATTCATGGAGAATGCCAGCTGTTTTTTAACCCCAGGGTTGTGGATAGTGTCCAGTGACTTTAATGACCAAATAGTTTAAGAAAGTGACTCGAAAATGATTATCCAAAAAGTGACCAGAAATTGAAGAAAGTGCCTGAAGAGGTTGGTAAAAAATTTAAGGCTGAAAAACATTTTTTTTTTTATAACTTTCTGGATTAAAAATCAAGGTCAAGATTGCAAGATTCTGAGGCGTAACAAATATTTTATGTCCCAGATTAAGGGAAATATTCCAGACTCTGAAACTCGGACATGAACTTGAAAAAAAGATATTACACCGTTTGAAAAATTCATGTAAATTTCCACCATATATAGTGCACACGTTATTAACGCTAGATTTGGCGTACATTTTTACGATATTTCATGTAAATTTAAGCAAGATTTCGCATATCTTTCAGAAGATAAGCAATTATAACGGAATTTAAAGGAAACAAACCAACCCACTCAAAGCTCTTCACAATATTTTGTCTTAATTCTTCATCGTGAATCTGTTATTGGTTGAAATCTTTATTTCACCTTACCAATCTCAAGTTCCATAGAATCAGCACGGAGCACAATTTGAAAATCCGTAATTTAGACTGGGTAATTTAGAATTTACACTTAGAATGCTTTCTTGCTTCTTCTAGAATATCTCTGAATATAACCTAGAAGCCCTTAAAATGTTTTGTTTGATGTGCTCTTAGAATCTTCTAACTTATGAATGACCAGATCAATGAAAATGTGCTCTTTTTAATACGTCATTGGGTGCTCTTAAGTAAAATTCATTAACAATTTACTCATATTTGATTAAAAGGACATGGTTCGCGGAAGCCTTTTGACGTAGGACTCCGTCTGTGATTTCTATATGAGGGTACACTTTGTGAAAACCAAAAATTGAATATGTAACAAACTTGTGAAAGATTTTGAGCGTTAATAACTCAGCTGCCCCTGGACCAATTTAAATAATTTTATCACCAATCGATTAGAAATATTTCTACGCATCTGTTAAATTTAAGAGTTTGTCACTATTGGAAATTGCACGAATGTGCAACTGTTGCTATGATAATTAAAATTATCACAGATTGTTTGTTTTCCCTTACACAGATTTCAAAGTTGAATTCCATCCGGTCTCAACAAATGGTGTTTATTCAATCACCGCGTGGTGAGTGGTGGTGTTCTCCAGTACACAACGAAAGGCTGCCTGCAAGCAGCGAGCTGCAGCCCACATGAGCATCCATAGAGGGGGAAGAAGCCGCACCGCTATTGATCGAAATCAGAAGCTCTTCGTGAGTCGCTATGGGCCATCTATGTCAAGCGCGTCATACTAAAGAGTTTACTACTGTTTATAGAGAGAACCCCGCTCAAATTCATATTCCTACTACACAAAACACAAGCTTTTGCTGCAGTTAACACATAAGATTTATTATATAAGACCACGTAGTCCTACGTCACCATTGCGTACAACTCGATAGGGCTATCCCCTGTAGTTTTTCATTCAATTTGTTTATCAACTTTGGATTTTTCCGGACACTAATATAAATGTAGAAATGCAATTTAGACGACAAACCTAATATCTCCCAAATGAAACATTTCAAAGGTTTGAAGAAGTTTCTCGTTGTAACTAAAACTATCTATTGGCGTAAACATATAGTTCGCAACGCACACGCAAAGATGGCACCACGATTTAACTTAAACTCTGATATTGTAGAAACTTGGTATCTTCAGAAAAGTTGTTTATCTTAAAATGATGAGCAAACAAATGAGTTACACAGCCTGCCATTTCTGAGTTATTTGGAAAATAAAATCAAAATCGGTTAAAACATGAAACTTGTGAATACAATGTTCTTTGTTATATTTTATAGTTTTCATTAACAAGCATGCAAATTCATTCCCTTTTCAAATTAAAAGAAAAAAACAACGTAATGACATACAATTATTCTACTAGAACGCTTATCAATCAATTTAGATTCAAAATATATGCTTGATTAAACTTTCGGCATTAATTTCTGGTCAAATTCTTGGGAATACCGTTACTTTTAAGATGAACATGTAAAATAATAGTAATTTTTACAAGAAAATAATGAATTCGATAGCAGTATCAACCATTTCTCAAACATAAATATGTTAATAATGTTAAGAATAATTACTCTTTACAGAACAGGTAATCAAAACTTTTTGATTGGAAAACTATTGGACCACTTTGAGTCTACCTTAAAAAATAGAAAACAATGATTTTTTTTCAATGCATCGTGCATTACAGCACTAAGCGCAGGTAAATATAAAATGACCCCAGATTGATTGAGTAGTAGAAAAAAAAACTTTATTGATTTTGCCGCGAAATTTTAATTTCTGGCCCATAGTGAACGGATGAACTACTTGTACTACTAATGTTTAATTCAGGGAAGCAAACATCGCGTTTAGCTTTAAGATATGCAGAGCTTTTGGATAATGCGATTTGTGTCATGAAAACGTGAAATGGCGTTGCACATTAAATTTCACAAACCAGTATTCTTTCTAATTTAAAGTTCCAAATTTATTGAATTTCTGTTTTTGTACACCAAAGATGCAGGTTGTAATGCATTCTTTAAGCCTAAATAACGCTCTAGAAGACTAGAGTACAACCAACATTGGTACACTTAAGTGTTCTTTTATTGATATCGGAAAAAAAAAACAATCTTCAGATCATAGAACGAATCATCTTCTCCTGTAGATTGTATTTCGTGAGCAATCTCATTCCACTTCCATCTCTCATAGAAAATTCCATTTGAAGGAAACGAGATGAACACCAATCATCAAGCACCACACTACAGCACATAAAAAAGGAATCCCTGTCATTGTCTGGCACTGTGGTAACTTAATACGAATTTTCCGTACTGCAGCCGCAGTCCCATCCCCGCTATGCTCCTCTACCTTCTCATCCTGTCGAAGATGTTTCCTTCCGAAAAAAAAAACACAAACCAAAGTCAAATACACGACCCAGCTACTACAAATCGACAGTAGCTGCTCCTTCGATCCCGTTACTAAAATAGATCCCGGTGCTCTTTCAGAAGGAGCAACGGAAAAGCTTTTAAAACTCTACAAACCGACAGAGCTCGTGGTTGTTGTGTCTCATCGAACCTGGAGTGGCCCACGAGAAGAGGAGCAGCTGTAACTGCTCAAACAGACGAAGAAGGTGGCATTCTAGTAAATACTTATTCCTTTTGGTTCCAATCGCTGCTCGTTGCTGCGCCGATGAGGGTTGCAGCTGTCGTCGTTAAGCGGACTGGCTGCTGCTGGCTTTTGACTAGGAATCGTAATGGAGACGCGTGGTGTTTTGTGAAATCCAATCAAAATCCCATTGCTTGGACAGTGTGCTTGAGTGTATGATCACACTGCAAATTACAGTGAATTCGCTTCAATCACGCAGCAGCATCAACAACGGTAGATTCTTCTCTTCCTGAATGTCGAGTGTACGGCTTTTATCATCATCAAAATGCATTCTCGCACTAACATGGGCACTCTTTTGCTCTTCACTGATGGCGCGCGTTTTGATTAGGCACAATTGGTTTGATTTAATATAGGCAACTTCCTTTCGTAGCGGTTCCATCACTCTTTTTTTTCTATGTACCTACATGCAATTGAGAACACACATTGGATTTTTTTTTTCGCGCACTCTGTTTTATCACTCCGCTATCATCACACTGTTGCTGTCGGCTATAACGCGCTCTTTTCTCTCCCGTATCTGTTTGTTTTCGTTGGCTCATCACCTTTTTTTTATCACACACGTTTATTGGGTACAAGATACGCGCAATTCTATCGTTGCTCTGTTTTGTTTCAATCATTTAGCTTCCTCTTATCACTAAACAATCACGAACTGATTACACTCGAATTGGGCCCCGTATGGTCTAGTTATTTTTGGCCGTAGCTCATTTCACTCGAAACATAATATTTACTCTTGGCTATCAAATCGAATTTTGAGAAACCTTGCCCAACGGAAAATTTTCAAACCGATCACGGCTCACTGCACAACATAAAAATTTGATCGCAATTCTATCACCTATTGAAGTACACCAAACAACCCAAAACACCAATTGCACGAAAACCACCAACGCTCAAGCACCGAAAACAACATTACCCTCCAAAGAAAGAAAGCACCCCCAAAAAACCTTTACCTTTTGACGGAGTACGCAACACCGATACTGTCACTCTACGAAAGATACACAACAACTGAGCACGATAAACATTGAGGGAAGCGGTACGACTCCTGCTGCTGATGCTTGTCCCTATGAATCGATGCCGCAAAAAAAAAAAACGCCGCCTTCCACAATACAAGCATGCAAGCCAGCAAGGTATGCGTGCACTGCACAGGGAAACCCTCAACCGCTCATCGCACATTGCCATATCCGACGATGACGACGTCGACGACGCCGACGACGACGCGAACGAGTACAGTTGAATTGTACAAGTTGCACATTACCACCATCGTCATCGGCGTCATCAGCCAACCAATACCAGTGAGAGTCCTTCCACATGCTATGCTCCTTCCTTCCTTCCTTGCTCGTTAGTTAAGCGATAGCACAATGGTTGTGCTCAATGATGATGACGATGGTAGAGAAGGAAAAGCGGCAGCATAATTTGATGAATACCAATACAGACATACGCTCGAACGTGTTTGAGGACAGATGGTAGACTTCGGGACGATCATCAGCATCGTCAATCGTCGGTGCTTGGTCCTGGAATATGTATGCGAATGACCGACCGGCGGGTGAATGTGTTGTAGGTACGCACGATCCTTGTGCAAGTTCCGATACGGTAGGGCAGGGTGGTTCTTGGATGTGATTTAAAACTATAATCTGTGTGGTCATTGCATTTCAGCCAAGGGGGAATCAGCTCTGCCCACCTCAATCTGTGCTGACAGTTTTCGCTGTGCCGAAAGCTAAGCCAAACGCTGTGCCGAAGTAATCCAAGTATCCCATGAGTTTGGCAACCCTGAAGATTAAATATCTTTTGTGATTGTTTATTTGTGATTTGAAAACGAACCGTGATAAAAATAAATTCATGTATGCAGCCTAAATCCCTGCTGCTGCCCGTAAATTTCACCAGAATAAGCAAACCAAACCAAATCTGTTCCAACACCATCCAACACCATCGAAGATAAGAGACAATCCTTCATATATTGTTCATTTCTATTTGAATAAGTGAACTGTTATTTGTGAGATATCGACAACGGAAGTCAAAAGTAACAGTTACTTTATATTGAGGTATACCTATATTGTTAGACGAATAAAACATAAAACAATGTTTAAAGAAAACCTATCTAATATGTCAAAGGTTGCACAATAGGGTATCATAAACAGGATTGATTTAATAACATGCTTTATTTGGCTTCTAATAAATTTTCTGGCGTTGAATTAGGAAGACATTTAACACTTTTACAGCTTTTAATAAGTAAATTAATCAAGTCAGAGCAAACAGTAAAATAAATGTGCATCTATCGATCTCAATGAGCCTTTTCGGCACATAATTCGACAACTTTTGTTATTCTGCATTGTACACTGTTATACAGCATATGTTTATTTGTGACTTTGAATTGTTTGTTGGGTGGTGTAAGAGCTATTTTGCTGAGTGTATTCACCTTTATACAGCAATATTGTAAAGCAATGCAATGAAATCTAATAATGGAGCTAGAAAAAAATATAAGACGTTTAATAAAGCATTTTATTCAGTCAATTGAAAACAGTCGAATAAAAGCGACAATGTATGTGCAAATTACACTTATTCAGTTTGTTATTAGATCAAACTTCTGGTTCTGAATAAGGAAGACAGTCAACGTTAATAAAGCTTTTAATAAGGAAATTAATCATATCCGAGAAGTCCGCATCGTGCTCTCTTGCCGTGCGGATCTATTTGCTTTTTGCTGAAGGAAGTGTTACTACTACCTAAAGCTACAACAAATTTAAACAGCACTTTTCAGTGCTCAACCTGTAAAAAATTTTCTACCTTGTTCAACTCTTATTCCTCTTCGATCCTTGTTTGGACCCTACCCGAGGTAATCCTTCTTGGATATCGATTTGGAAAATTCCTCTTCGATCCTTCAGATTCTTATAGTAATCTGCTTGGAAGTCGATTTGGATAAAAATTTACTGCCGCCATGGCGCCTAAACGCAAAAGAAAGGGGCAAACTCTTGACCCCCCTTCTGATGAAATTAATTTGAGTAATCAATTTGATTTGCTCACAAATGATGAGAATGATCCATCATCCAAGAAAAATTCTAGTAAACTTTCCCGGCTTAATGCCAAGAAGGAAAAGATTCCCCCTATTGTGATAACCACTACCGATTTCCATGCTCTTCGCATGGAACTTTTGAATTTCGTGAAAGTTAAGTTTTCACTACAAATTGGACGTCGGGGTGAATGCCGTGTATTGGCTGAAACCTTGGACGGATTTAAATGTCTTCTCAAGTATCTTACTGAGAAGAAGCACAAATGTTTTACTTACGACACCAAAACTGAACGTGTGTTCAAGGTTGTCATGAAAGGACTGCCCAGTGGTGAATCCCTGGATCAGATCAAAGATGAACTGGCAAAATTACTTGGAGTTGTGCCACTCCAAGTAATCAAAATGAAAATGAAATCCCATCCTGGCGATTCGCGCAACGGGATTTCTAATTATTTTTATTTAGTTCACTTCAAGTCTAGTGAACTAAGCAACCTTAAGGCCTTAGAAAAAGCTAGCCTTATGCTCCATGTCCGAGTGAAGTGGGAACACTTCAGGAAGACTGGAGGAAATTTCCAAAACCTCACCCAGTGCCGTAAGTGCCAGGGATGGGGTCATGGAACTAAAAATTGCTACATGCCAGCTAAATGCATGAATTGTGGTGATTCCTCTCACGCAAAGGACGACTGTCCAGTGAAGGAAGATCCTAAGAAATTTAAATGTTCAAATTGTGGTGAAAACCACAAATCCAATTTTTGGGAATGTAAGACTCGCAAAGCGATCCTACAATCTCGTTCTAACCGTCAGGTAGGAAACGCTCCACGTTTCCGACCAGGTACAAATTCCTCTGCTGTTAACAACGGTCAGCGAGGAACAAATTCTACATTCGTACCCGTACGTACAAATATCTCCCCTGCTTCAAATGTTTCATCTGTGCCTACTCCCCTCGCTGCTAACAATGTTCAGCGAGTTAATGGAGCTACCTATGCTGCTATTGCAGCGGGTAGAAATCAAAATACTAACCAACGTTCTAACGGAAATTTTGACAATTTTGACTTAGGAAGCATTACTACCCCCAAAATGGAATTTTTACAGAATTCATTAATTGACATGATTTCTGATATGCTTAAATCTAACTCCATGTTTGATGCTATTCAAACTGGAGTAAAATTTGCAAATAATATTGTCATGACTTTAAAATTCAGTAATGGATTTTAAAGCATTAAATATTGTAAATTGGAATGCTCGATCTCTTAAAGATTATGAAGACGAGCTATTTAACTTTTTGATAGTTCATAACGTGCATATTGCCGTTATAACTGAAATGTTCCTTAAACCTGCCCATAAGGTTAAGAAGGACGCAAATTACTTGATTTATAGAAATGATCGTCTTGATGGACCCTGTGGTGGCGTTGCCATCATTATTCATAGACGAATCAAACATAAAATTCTTTCTTCATTTGAAACCAAAGTTTTTGAAACTTTGGGAGTTTCTGTTGAAACAAAATTTGGACAACTTACGTTTATAGCTGCCTATTTGCCATTCCAATGCGTAGGCCAGCAAAAGAATTTTCTCAAGGGTGACCTCCAGAAACTTACCCGTCATAGGTCTAAATTCTTCATTATTGGTGATTTTAATGCAAAACACCGCTCATGGAATAATGCTCAAAGCAATTCCAATGGTAATATTCTGTTTGATGATTGTTCTGCAGGTTATTACACTATTCAATATCCAAACAGCCCAACATGCTTTTCTTCTGCAAGAAATCCCTCCACTATTGATTTGGTCTTAACTGATTCATGTCAACTTTGTAGCCAATTGGTTACCCATGCTGACTTCGGTTCTGATCACCTTCCAGTAACTTTTGAAATATCCCAAGAAATAATTTGTAATCCCAACAGCTCTACTTTCAATTACCATAGAGCTGATTGGGAGCAGTATCGAACATTTATGGAATATAACTTCGATCCAAACATTCCTTTGCAAACCAAAGATGAAATTAATTATGCTCTTGAATCTCTGACTACTTCTATAGTTGAAGCAAGAGCTGCCTCAGTACCAAAATGCGAGGTTAAATTCGATTCAATTATAATAGACGATGATCTTCAGCTCTTGATCCGTCTTAAAAATGTCCGTAGGAGACAATATCAAAGAACACGCGATCCTGCCATGAAAGTTATCTGGCGGGATTTGCAAAAACAAATTAAAAAGCGATTCTCTGCCCTGAGGAACAAAACTTTTGAAAATAATATTTCTAAACTAGACCCGAGTTCCAAACCCTTTTGGAAACTCACAAAAAATTTGAAAAAACCTCAAAAGCCTATTCCAGCGCTTAAAGAAGGTGGTAAAATTTTGATCACAAATTTGGAAAAAGCTCAGAAACTTGCTAAGCAATTCGAGAGTTCCCATAATTTCAGTTTGGGTCTTACTAGTCCTATTGAGAATCAGGTTGCTCGGGATTTTCTGAATATTATCTCTCGGGAAAATATTTTTGATGATTCCTGGGGGACTGATTTGGACGAAGTAAGGTCTATAACTAAAAATTTTCAAAATATGAAAGCTCCAGGTGATGATGGAATTTTCTATATCCTCATCAAAAAACTCCCAGAGAGTACCTTGTCTTTCTTGGTAAAATTATTTAACAGATGTTTCCATTTGGCATACTTTCCTGATAAATGGAAAAATGCAAAAGTTGTTCCAATTTTGAAGCCGGATAAAAATCCAGCTGAAGCTTCTAGCTACCGTCCAATAAGTTTGCTTTCTTCAATAAGTAAACTTTTTGAAAAGATAATTTTGAATATAATGATGCTTCACGAACTCAATTTTTGCAGATGAGCAGTTTGGATTTCGTCATGGGCATTCAACTACTCATCAACTCTTAAGAGTTAACAATTTAATTCGTTCAAACAAATCTGAAGGCCACTCAACTGGAGTTGCTCTTCTAGACATAGAAAAAGCATTCGACAGTGTTTGGCATGAAGGTTTGATTGCTAAATTGAAAAAGTTTAATTTTCCACTTTATATTATGAAATTAG